CCTTATCTCTGTTCTTGAAGTAATGCTCTCTTCTCTGGGACAAAAACTTTTCAAGGTTATCACCATAAGATTTTCTCATTCTCTCTTGTTTTGTTTCATTGAAAGGCATATTTTAAGAATCACACTGTTTCAAGTACAACCTTAGATGTCAATATGTCACACTTAATTTGAAAACAATGCAAAGGTAAATTATGCAATTTATCGTTCTTGTTTTAAGTCCAGAGCCCTAGAGCAAAGCCGTGTCAGACTTCTGCGGTGTTAGCGTTCGTCCTTACGTAGGAGATTCACGTCTTAGACACCGACTGCTATGATAGAATGGCTTTGTCCAACATAGAACCCTCGAGTCAGATGTATAGAACTGAAAACCTCACTTTCAAAGGTTAGATCATAGTTCGAACCTAGATCTAGAGAATCTACATAGTCCACGTTTTTTATCTAGCTGATACAGCTGCAGGCTGACCACGAAGCGTGTGCGCATAAGCAATCGTGCACCTTCACGTGATATGAGGGCGGGCTGTTACTTGGCAACTCACAGAGCGTGCTCGTAACAACAGAATATGGCTACTTGTGTACTGTAAGCTCATTAGTAGTGTTACAAAATGGTTATTGTTATTACTTATTATTACCAAGAACAACGCTTTTAACTAAGGTAGTGTAATTCAATCATGTACATTTATATTTGCATAAGGTGAAGGCAAGGGAGAGCTATGCCTTTCCAACAACGTTACTAAGTCAGTCAGATTGAGAAATTTGTGGTTTTGTGAAATTTTTGTTTTTACTCTACCGAATTTCTCAAGTGCTTTGGTGGCTTGTTACTCTGTATTTGGTTTGTTTATTACTCAAGGGTGTGAGTAAAGCACTTATAAAGTTTTGTTTACATGCCGTTTGCAGTGTGTTTGAGATTTTAATTTGTATTGCACATCTGGCTCATTTCTACTATAAGTTCTATCGTATTTATGATATCAGTCATCGGCTTAATACATGAAATTTAGATTATATTATTACATACTATGATTAGTACTAAACTTGTATTGACTGATTTTCCCGTCGTTTGCTATGAAACACTTTTTATGCACTCAAATCCAAAACAAACACGAGTGATTCAGAAAGTGAATAGCCAAATAGGACTGATTCGGATTGTCTATTGTGTTTTGTTTTTAATCCTATTTATATGGAATATATTCGTGGAAATAATATCAAACGCCTCGGAAATCTTAGTGAAGAATATTAACTTTTACGGAAAATAAATGTATTGAAACATGAAAATAAGTTTAGAAACCATATATTGTTTCATATACTGTCGCAAAGCTATACAACATCTATATGCGCTATCCATCCATATAATTTTGAACTGATAGCCGAGAATAGCAATTAGCAAACTGATAGCAATTAGTTGACACTACTAACCTTTCGATTAATTTAACTGAATAGTGGGATTTAACTGTCATTCTTGTATCGCACAAAAAAAGGTCTTTTTTTATCGTTTGTTCATAGGGCCGTTAAGATGGCATCATATAATGAAGATCTTATGTTTGAAGTGAATCATTTAAAATATCTAGCTATCGATAGAGGTTGTGAACCGTATACATTTTAGAATATACCAGACTACAGATAATAAGTAAAGGTAATAAAGAAAGAATATGTTTGCCATATGTTCCGTCATTTTCAACAAAAATAGGTAAGGTGTTCATGAAAAACACTACTTGTCAATTAGCCTTTACTCCTCAGTTAAAACTATTGAATATCATTAATGGTATAAAGGACAAAATTTAATTAAAGGATAAATTTTAAGTTTCGAATTAATGAATACAAAAATGCCGTCGAAAAATTAAAAGCTAGTGATTCGGCCTTGGCGGAATATGTGGCGAACTCTTCATAACATTGAATGGGATAAGGTTCAAATACTTAAAGAAGTTAAGCTAAAAATTAATTAAACATAAGAGAATCTCTACAAATTGTTA